ACCCTGGGGGAGCAGTGTGTTTACTGGGTCCTTGATGGGGGGAGGGGCAGGATGAGCCAGAAGCAGACACACCCCCTTGGGTAATCACTGCACCTGCGGCAGGACCCTGACGGGCGGTACTGGGTGAGTGGACGCAACGAGGCGGAGGCCCGGGAGAAGGCAGCCAAGGAGTTTGGAGTGTCCCCTGACAAGATCAGTCTCCAGCAAGGCAAGGAGGGGCTTTGAGGGTTTGGAGGGAGTTGTTGGGGGCAGAGCTCCACTCCCTCTGACCTCTGACCTTTGGCCTCTCTCAGATGAGGATGTATTGGATACCTGGTTCTCCTCCGGCCTCTTCCCCTTATCCATTTTTGGCTGGCCCAACCAGGTGTGTTCCTGGGGCCAGGGCTTGGTGGGACAGGGGACTGGAGGGTGGGTGTTGGCTCCCCTTCACACCCTGGTCTGCCCTCAGTCAGAAGACCTGAGTGTGTTCTACCCTGGGACACTGCTGGAGACCGGTCACGACATCCTCTTCTTCTGGGTGGCCCGGATGGTCATGCTGGGCCTGAAGCTCACGGGCAGGCTGCCCTTTAGAGAGGTGCGGAGACAGCCGAGACCCTCCCATCACCCCCAGCCTCCTCTCCTGCTGTCCTGTTCTGCAGCACAGGCGCCGTGTGGCTGGGGCATGGAGTTAGCTGTAGGCAGGCCTGACCCAGGGGCTGGTGGGGGGTTGAAATCCAGCCTAGGCCCTGCTCAGTGATTCCTGTGCCCAGGGCTTCGTCTTCCCAGAGGAGGGAGTGCTTCTGATTCACATAAAGGCACTGAACGAACTCTTGGGGACACTCAGTGGGACATGAGGTTCACAGTGGGGTAGACCAGATACAGTCCTGGTCGGGGCACTGAGGCCGGGGAAGGAGAGGACTGAGTCTCACGGGCCTCCCCACCTGCTCTTCAGGTCTACCTCCATGCCATCGTGCGAGATGCTCACGGCCGGAAGATGAGCAAGTCTCTAGGCAATGTCATCGATCCCCTGGACGTCATCTATGGAGTCTCCCTGCAGGTGCGCTGGGTGCTGGGCCAGCCAGGAAGGGCCGTGGGGCTGTGGCCACAGCCACCTGACTGCTCCCACTCCACCCTCAGGGCCTCCACGACCAGCTACTGAACAGCAACCTGGATCCCAGCGAGGTGGAGAAGGCCAAAGAAGGGCAGGTGTGGAGGGTTGGGCTGGGCTGAGCAGGAGCACAGCGTGGATGGGGCTGGCTGAGGACACTCCTGCCTCTGCCTCTTCCCTGTAGAAAGCTGACTTCCCAGCGGGGATTCCCGAGTGTGGCACCGATGCTCTCCGGTTTGGATTATGTGCCTACACGTCCCAGGGTATGGCCCCCAAAGCTGCCCTCCCAGCCACTCCCTCCTTCTGTGAGGCCCATCCCTCTTCTCCACCCTGAGCCTCTGGTGGGCATGGGCTGGGAAGAGGATGATGAGGACTCACGTCTTACCCCCGACCCAGGTCGTGACATCAACCTGGATGTGAACCGGATACTGGGTTACCGCCACTTCTGCAACAAGCTCTGGAATGCCACCAAGTTTGCCCTTCGTGGCCTTGGGAAGGGTTTTGTACCCTCACCCACCTCCCAGGTAAGGACCTGGTGGGCAGCAAAGGCTGGGCACAGGAATCACTGAGCAGGGCCCACACAGGCTGCACCCCTGTCCAGAGTGGCCTCCATGTTGCCGGGGGGACAGATAGACACAGAGATGGACAGTTAAAGGGAAAGCCCAGGGCACTGGGGGCTGGGGCCTGTCACTTCTTCCCAGATCCTGGCACATAGGTGGTTGCTTTGGACTCATCAGACTCTGGGTGAAGATTTGCCCATGACTCCTGCCCCCATGGGGTTCTGTCACCCTTCCTTGGCCCACTGGCTGATACACCCTCTCTCCCTAAGCCTGGAGGCCATGAAAGCCTGGTGGACCGCTGGATCCGCAGCCGCCTGACAGAGGCTGTGAGGCTCAGCAATCAAGGCTTCCAGGCCTACGACTTCCCGGCCGCCACCACTGCCCAGTACAGCTTCTGGCTCTATGAGCTCTGTGATGTCTACTTGGTGAGAAGGAGCAGAGCGGGGCAGGGGATGGTGGGGATGGGCAGGCAGCAGAGCCCTGGGCTCAGTTTTGCCAGAGTTGGCCTTGAGACCTCAGCCAACCCATCCCCTTCCCAGTCTTCACATGCACAGTGAGGGCTCAAGGCTAGACCTCCAGCCATGAGCCCTGTACCTCTCGTCCCCTAGGAGTGCCTGAAACCTGTACTGAATGGGGTAGACCAGGTGGCAGCCGAGTGTGCCCGCCAGACCCTGTACACCTGCCTGGACGTTGGCCTGCGGCTGCTCTCGCCCTTCATGCCCTTCGTGACGGAGGAGCTGTTCCAGAGGCTGCCCCGGAGGATGCCGCAAGCTCCCCCTAGCCTCTGCGTCACCCCCTACCCAGAGCCCTCAGAGGTATGGCATGGCCTGGAGAGGGGAGTCTGACCTGCGCTCCAGGCCTCCTCACCCCCTCCTTCACCCCACAGTGCTCCTGGAAGGACCCTGAGGCAGAAGCTGCCCTTGAGCTGGCGCTAAGCATCACGCGAGCTGTGCGCTCCCTGCGGGCTGACTACAACCTCACCCGGATCCGGCCTGACTGTGAGCCTCAGGCCCCCATGTCCACCCCATCCCACTGTCCCCTCAGCCCACTCTGCGACCCAGCGTCCAGCAGTGACTGCTTGGTTTGCTGTCTCCATGGAGCTAGGCCTCACCTTTCTCCCTCTCTGGCAGGCTTCCTGGAAGTGGCGGATGAGGCCACGGGCGCCCTGGCATCGGCTGTGTCGGGCTACGTGCAGGCGCTGTCCAGCGCAGGTGTGGTGGCTGTTCTGGCCCTGGGGGCTCCCGCCCCGCAGGGTTGCGCTGTGGCTCTGGCCTCTGATCGCTGCTCCATCCACCTGCAACTGCAGGGCCTGGTGGACCCTGCGCGGGAGCTGGGCAAGCTGCAAGCCAAGCGAGTTGAGGCACAGCGGCAGGCCCAGCGTCTGCGGGAACGCCGTGCCGCCTCAGGCTACCCTGTCAAGGTGCCCCTCGAAGTCCAGGAGGCAGATGAAGCCAAGGTGTGTGGCGTGAGTGGGCATTTCCCACACCATCCACTTCCTCCATCAAAACCCTGGTCTGGGCTGGTCCGAGTACAGTGGCGTTGACGACTAATTGATCGTAACCAGCTACAGATTTCTTTGTTCCTTCTCCATTCCCACTAACCTTAAAAAACAAAACAGCCTGGTTCAGTGCCTCACACCTGTAATCCCAGAACTTTGGGAGGCCGAGGTGGGTGGATCACTTGAGCCCAGGGGTTTGAGAGCAGCCAACATGGTGAAATCCCATCTCTACAACAAATACAGAAAAATTAGCTGGCCACAGTGGCACAGACCTGGGGTCCCAGCTACTCGGGGGGCTGAGGTGGGCGGATTGCTTGAGCCTGGGAGGTCAAGGCTGCAGTGAGCCGAGATCATGCCACTGCACTCCAGCCTGGGCAACAGAGAGAGAGAAGACCCTCTCTCTCAAAAAAAAAAAAAAAAAAAGCATCCAAAACAAAACCCAATCCTGGTCTGGAAGCTGGACTCTGTACCCAGACCTGGGGAATCCACTGGGAAGCATGGAGCCCAGGCGCTTGGAGCAGGGACCATAGAATGCCCTTCCCTCACACATGGGGAGCAGCTGGGGGCTGGGCACAGCGCAGGGTCACACAACAGGTCGGAGATGGAGGCTGACCTAGAACCAGGCATCCTATCTCCCAATCAGACCCTTCATACCCCACCCAGCTGCCTGAAATGTGGAAACCCGCATGCCTGAGGCTAGGCTTGGGGTCCACGTGTAGTTGGGAGCCCTGGACCTCCTACCACTTACTTTCAAGCCTACCGAGCTGACCCTGGAAGGCCAGTCTCGTTTGTCCCCTGCCTCCTGGGTTCCACCAGAGAGGAGCAATAGAGTAAGCTGCACAGACACGGAGAAAATCAGTCACGGAGGTCAAGAGCTAGAGAGCCTTGAGTGGACCTGGTTCATGTCACCTGGTTCTCCCAAGAGCCCTGGGAGGGGTAATATTATCGTCATCTGACAAATGAAGTGATTGGCCTGGGACCCTGTGCTCTCCTGCTTACGTGGGGACACTGTGTGGGGAGCATGTAGGCTCTGAGGTTCCTTTGTTCTTGGGGACTGACCACTCTGTGGAAAAAGGCAAGACCCAAGAGGTGCTGGTGGAGGTGGGGTGGGGGTGCTGGCGGAAATGGGTGGGGAGCCAGGCCAGCCAGGTTCACGCCTCCTCCAAGCTACTGACCTTCCATGGTCCTCGCTCATCTTTCCAACTTTGTTGTCCTGGGTGTCTGGGGGTCTCTTCGCTTGGACGTGGGTCCTCACCTATCCCCTGGTTCCACTCCAGCTCCAACAGACGGAAGCAGAGCTCAGGAAGGTGGATGAGGCCATCGCCCTATTCCAGAAGATGCTGTGATCCACCACCTAGCTTCCCCGCTCACCCCCAGCAGCTCACCATGGGGATGGCAGCAATAAAATATTTTCCCACAAAATCCTCTTGTCATCTGTGGTGGGGGCAGAGAGGGGAGCAGAGGGGCTGGGTGCCTGAATCCCTGGGGGTTGCAGGGTGAGAGTGAGGCCCTGGTTCTGGAGGGCAGAGGGGCGGGTCTGTCTGGGTCTGTCCCTGGCACTGTGCCAGGCCTGAGTCACGCTGCTCACTCCCTTCCTCCTCCCCAGCTTTCATTCACCTCCGCACTGCGGCCAAGGGAGGCCCGCCCTGGCATGGGCTGCTGCCTGTGGCCTTGGGCAGGCATGAGCAAAGGGGCCAGGGGGGTTGCCTGTCCTCCCCCACCCTGTGGGGGCCTTCCTCCCCCTCTACTGGGCCTCGGTTAATTATAACTCTGACCTAAGTGCCCTGTGACGTTGTGCCCGGGCCAGCCCTTCCTAGGAGACCCAGCAACCAGGTAGGGGAGGGCCTGAGAGGACTCAGGCTTCCTGTGCATGGGGAGTGTTTCTGCAGCAGGGCTGGGAACTCAGCCAGGGACTGGGGAGGGGGGCCTGGGGGAGGAACCCTGGACCCCTCTCCTGGCAGCTGTGTATGACCCTAATGGTCCGATGAGGCCCTCAGGTTGTCTGGGTGACAGAGAGGGCGGGGAAGCCAGGCTGCAGCAGACGCAGGTTTTGAGGTAAAGCAGGTGCCCATGGAGACCCGCAGAGCCAGCCTGCCCTGGAATCGCAGCTGCTTCCTCCTCCCTTGAGAGCCTTCTGTCTCCCAGGTCCATGTCTCAGCCATGCTCCCCACGGAAGTGCCCCAGTCCCACCCGGGCCCCTCAGTGTTGCTTCTGCTGCAGCTGCTGCTGCCCCCCACATCTGCCTTCTTCCCCAACATCTGGAGCCTGCTGGCTGCCCCTGGCTCCATCACCCACCAAGACCTAACTGAGGAGGCAGCACTCAACGTCACCCTGCAGCTCTTCCTGGAGCGGCCACCCCCAGGCCGCCCCCCTCTTCGTCTTGAGGACTTCCTGGTGAGCATCCCAGGGTCCTGTCACACCCCTGCCAGAGTCCCCAATTCCATGGGGCCTCTACTCCGTGAGGGCTCTGGTTGCCAAGAGAAGAGACACCCATGGCCCCACCCCTGCAGCAATAATCCCCAGTAGTCTTGGTCCTGAAATTAGGAGTCCCCCTCCTTTGTGGGGCTCAGGACCCTCATACCCAGCCTTGAGTGTCAGTTGCTGAGATAAGGTGGGCAACAGTCAATCCAAGGGGCCTCCCTGGAGCCCCGTCCTCCACTATTCTCCCCAGGGTCGAACACTCCTTGCTGATGACCTCTTTGCCGCCTACTTTGGACCTGGTTCTCCTTCTCGGCGGTTCCGAGCAGCCTTAGGTGAGGTGTCTCGTGCCAATGCGGCCCAGGACTTCCTGCCGACTTCCAGGAATGACCCCGACCTGCACTTTGATGCTGAGCGACTGGATCAGGGACGCACGCAACTGGTAGGGGCTCTGCGGGAGACCCTGGTGGCAACCAGAGCCCTTGACCACACCCTGGCTCGCCAGCGCCTCGGGGCTGCACTTCATGCCCTGCAGGTGAGAACAGGGTTGGGTTGATGGTCAGAGGGGTCTTCATGTCCGGGATAGAGAGCATCCTATGGTGCCTTCTTGATCATGCCTTCTCCACTCTGGAAGGGGTGGGCACTGGCACGTGGTGCCCCGAGGTTGTGTCCCAGTTCCCCACCTCCAAGCTGGCAGTGCTTCCTGTAGGAACAGCAAGGAGAGCACTGTGGCTGGAGAGAAGTGAGGGTGAGAGAGGAAGGCTGTGAGGTCAGAGAGCTGAGGGAGCAGCACATGCTGCAGGACCTGCAGGCCCAGAGAGGCCTTGGGTTAGACTCTGAGCTGGGAAGAGATGCTGGGACAGTTTCCACCCGGGCAAAGCTCTGCTCTGAGCATGGAGAGGGGGCGGTGGAGGGGACTTGGGGTGTCTGGTGGGAATAGTGGGAGTAGGAGGGGACTTTCCAGGTGAGGAACTCAAAGGAGTGGCATATTAGTGCTGGGGATGGTGAGAAAGGTCAGACTAGTGCCTCATTCCCCTTCTCCTGTCCTCTGGACCAGGATTTCTACAGTCATAGCAACTGGGTGGAGCTGGGTGAGCAGCAGCCACACCCTCACCTCCTCTGGCCAAGACAGGAGCTCCAGAACCTGGCGCAAGGTACGGCTGTGACCCTGTCGGTGAGGCGGGAGTCCACAGGGCTACCTCAGTCCACCCAGCCACTGTGTCACATTCTGAGGTCCCAGAGGGTGTGATGTTACTTAATCTCCACAAGGACTGAAGTCCCCCAGTCCAAGCAATGCCTGGCTCAGTTAAGCAGCTTCCCCAAGGTCACACAGGGAAAAACAGCTAGGACCAGGTCTCCAGAACTTAAGCGTGGCTTCCTCCCCGCACTGACTCACACGGGGCCTTCTCCCACAGCTCCCTCATCCTCTCGCCTGGAAGCTGCCTCCTGTCCACAACTCACAGAGGGCACAATCCCCATAGGATTGGTCCCTACACGTACTGTTTGGGTTTTTTTCTTATTATTTATTTGTGTATTTATTTTTTAGAGATGAGGTCTCACTATGTGGCACAGGCTGGTCTCAAACTCCTAGACTCAAGCAATCTGCCCGCCTCTGTCTTCTAAAGTGCTGGGATTACAGGCGTGAGCCACCGCACCCAGCCTGTGCTGTGTTTTCTAGCACGGCCCCAGTTTCAAACATTCAGGCTCACTGCGGGCCCATGATCCTAGGTTTTAGTTCAGAAAGCCTTGCTAGGGAACTTCTGGGCTTTCACTTCATTCCAGCTGGGAGGAAAAGGTGAAGAGGTTTGGGTGTGTGGGGATAAAGGCTGGGGGTGGCAGAATCTTGGGTTCTAGTCCTGCCCTCTCTTCCCAGTGGCTGATCCTACCTGCTCTGATTGTGAGGCGTTGAGCTGCCCTGGGAATTGGCTGGGCTTCACACTCCTCACCTCTGGCTACTTTGGAACTCATCCCCCGAAACCTCCAGGTACCAGACAAGAAAGTTCCCCAGAAGTAAGGGGAGAAAGTCACTCCCTTACAGGATCTCTGTCCTGTAGGCCCGTATGCCTTTGCTATGGCATCTCCTCCTAGGAGGAGAGGATGCTGGGAACAGGGTGGGTGGAGGAAAGTCCCCTGAGGAGGCTGTGGTGGGGTTGAGGTAGGGGAGCAACTTCTTCCTCCACTGATAGGATTTCTCCCTTGTCATAGGCAGCTTGGGGGGACTGGCTGGAGGGATCAGGGGATCCACCATGTGCTGTGCTGATTGAGTACAGCACCCTAAGATTTACTCCAGAATTTCCCTCCACAAAGCATCATCCTGTTTTTTTTTTTTTGAGACAGAGTTTTGCTCTTGTTGCCCAGGCTGGAGTGCAGTGGCGCGATCTCGGCTCACCGCAACCTCTGCCTCCCGGGTTGAAGTGATTCTCCTGCCTCAGCCTCCCGAGTAGCTGGGATTACAGGCATGCGTCACCACGCCTGGCTAATTTTGTATTTTTAGTAGAGACGGGGTTTCATCATGTTGGCCAGGCTGGTCTCAAACTCCTGACTTCAGGTGATCCGCCCGCCTTGGCCTCCCAAAGTGCTGGGATTACTGGTGTGAGCCACCACCCCCAGTCATCATTTATTTATTTATTTGAGACTGAGTCTCGCTCTGCCGCCCAGGCTGGAGTGCAGTGGCACGATCTCAGTTCACTGCAACCTCCGCCTCTTGGGATTAAGCTATTCTCCTTCCTCAGTCTCCTAAGTAGTTGGGATTACAAGCATGCACCACCACACTTGTCTAATGTTTATAGTTTTAGTAGAGACAGAGTTTCACCATGTTGGCCAGGCTGGTCTCGAGCTCCTGATCTCAGATGATCTGCCTGCCTCAGCCTCCCAAAGTGCTGGGATTCCAGGCGTGAGCCACTGCGCCCACCCCCATCATCATTTCTTGCTGAACCCTTGCTGAGGGGTGAGAGGGTCAGGCCAGGTCTGAAAGGGCCTCATTTTCTTAGGAGGCAGTGGGTTTTTGACCTCCACTCTCCAGATCCCTTTCCTCAACCCAGGGAAATGTAGCCACGGGGGCCATTTTGACCTGAGCAGCTCCCAGCCACCGAGGGGAGGCATCAACAAGGACAGCACATCCCCAAGCTTCTCCCCTCACCACATGCTGCACCTCCAGGCTGCAAAACTGGCCCTTCTAGCCTCCATCCAGGCCTTCGGCCTTCTGCGAAGCCGCCTGGGAGACAGGGATTTCTCCAGGTGAGTGGCCTCCTGGGGATGGACCCACTCATGGGTAGGCATTCCTGCAGGAACTGAGAAACCAGACGCTGGAGACCAACGTGCAGACCCTTCACTGTGTCTCTGGCTTGCTCCCCAGGCTGCTGGACATCACCCCAGCCTCCAGCCTGAGCTTTGTCCTGGACACCACGGGCAGCATGGGTGAGGAGATCAACGCTGCCAAAATCCAGGCTCGCCACATTGTGGAGCAGCGGAGGGGCAGCCCCATGGAGCCTATCCACTATGTCCTGGTGCCTTTTCATGACCCAGGTAAGTGTGGTCTGGCTAGGACAGTAGAGGGGAGGAAAATTCAAGGTAAGGGATAGACTGGGCACGGTGGCTCACGCCTGTAATCCCAGCACTTTGGGAGGCTGAGGCAGGTGGATCACCTGAGGTTGGGAGTTTGAGACCAGCCTGACCAACATGGAGAAACCCCGTCTCTACTAAAAATACAAAATTAGCCGGGCGTGGTGGTGCACGCCTGTAATCCCAGCTACTCGGGAGGCTGAGGGAGGAGAATCACTTGAACCCGGGAGGCGGAGGTTGCGGTGAACTGAGATCGCAACTTTGCACTCCAGCCTGGGCAACAAGAGCAAAAAACTCCGTCTCAGAAAAAAAGAAAAGAAAAGAAAAGAAAAAAAGGTAAGGGATAGAGGCCTGTGGTGAGGAAGTGGGCTCGTGGTGGCACTTCCTGTAGTCCTGAGTGAGCCTCTATGGTGTGCATACAGAAAATTAGCAGCAACCTGGGTGGGGTGGCTCACAACTGTAATCCCAGCACTTTGGGAGGCAGAGGTGGGAGGATCGTTTGAACCCAGAAGTTCAAGACCAACCTGGGCAACACAGAGAGATTCAGGTCTCCACAAAAAAATTAATAAAAATCATGTGTGGGAGTGGTGGCGCATGCCTATAGTCCCAGCTACTTGGGAAGCTGAGGCAGGAGGATCACTTGAGCCCAGGAGATTGAGGCTGCAGTGAGCTGTGATGGCACTACTGCACTCCAGGGCAGCCTGGGTGACGCAGTGAGGCCCTGTCTCTAAAAAAAAAAAACAAAAAAAACAAAGATAACTAGCAGCCTTGTCTCCCACTATTTCTAAAATGACAGCACTTTCCATTAGTTTAATGCATGATTCGTACTTTGGCACGTGGCCTCTGCTTTCTTAGCCTTTCATGCTAATAAGCCGTTTTCTTTTTTTTCTTTTTCTTTTTTTTTTTGAGACGGAGTCTCGCTCTGTCGCCCAGGCTGGAGTGCAGTGGCGCAATCTCGGCTCACTGCAAGCTCCGCCTCCCGGGTTCACGCCATTCTCCTGCCTCAGCCTCCCGAGTAGCTAGGACTACAGGCGCCCGCCACTGCGCCCGGCTAATTTTTTTCTATTTTTTAGTAGAGACGGGGTTTCACCATGGTCTCGATCTCCTGACCTTGTGATCCGCCCGCCTCGGCCTCCCAAAGTGCTGGGATTACAGGCATGAGCCACCGCGCCTGGCCATTTTTCTTTTTCTTTCTTTCTTTCTTTTTTTTTTTTGAGACGGAGTCTTGCTCTGGGGAACCAGTCTTACTCTATTGCACCCAGGCTTCAGGCTATTGTAAGACCTGGACTCACTACAAGCTTCACCTCCCGGGTTCCCGCCATGTCTCCTGCCTCAGCCTCCTGTTTTTTTTTTTGAGATGGAGTCTTGCTCTGTTGCCCAGGCTGGAATGCAGTGCAAGACCTGGGCTCACTACAAGCTTCACCTCCCGGGTTCCCGCCATTCTCCTGCCTCAGCCTCCTGAGTAGCTGGGACTACAGGCGCCCGCCACCATGCCTGGCTAATTTTTTTTTTGTATTTTTAATAGAGATGGGGTTTCACTGTGTTAGCCAGGATGGTCTCAATCTCCTGACCTCGTGATCTACCCGCTTTGGCTTCCCAAAGTGCTGGGATTACAGGCGTGAGCCACCGCGCCCGGCCGCCATTTTCAATTCTCTCCATTTCCTATAGACAGAGATGGGGATGAAGATGGGGCTAGTGGGGCCAGGCTTCTGGGAAGCATCTGAGATAGCTAGCTACATTGTATTCCTTTCCCATTGATTGGAAGTTAGACTCTCTGGCTTTAGCCTGACTATGTGTCTTTAGGCTGGTCATGTAAACTTTCTTTGCCTGGATTTCATCATCCATAAAGTGGGTCAGTATCAGTTATGTATCAGTTAGGGTGGGGCAAGAACAAATCACAATGGTGGAATGACATCAGTTAAGGCTATTTTCACTTCTTTTGTGGATCTTCAGTTGCTTCAGGCTACCTGGATGTATAAGTGCAGGTCACAGGGGATATGATGGCTTAGCTTGGGCTCAGAGGCCTGACACCTCCCTCATCCTGCCTAACTCCCAGAGTTGAAATGATGATCAAATAAAATGCCTACTGGGTGAGAGTTGCCTAAGTTTGAGTCTTATTTGTCTGCATACATCCTACAGTGGCCGGCATTTAATAGAGAATTATTATGTTTGATGAAGATATAAATAAAGGTATAATTAAGAACTTAGCACTTATGTGTCAAAGCACTATCTTAAAATGTGCAAAATCAACTCGTTTAGTCCTCCCAATAAGCCTCTGAGGTAAGTGCTATTCTGTCTCTTTTCTTATGAGGAAACTCAGTGTGTTTTTTCCTTTTTTTTGTTTTTGTTTTTTTTTTGGAGTCTCACTCTGTCACCCAGGCTGGAGTGCAATGATACGATCATGGCTCACTGCAGCCTTGATTCAAGTGATCCTCCTGCCTCAGCCTCATGAGTAGCTGGGACTACAGACAAGCACCACCATATCTGGCTAATTTTTGTATTTTTTTGGTAGAGATGGGGTCTCACTATGTTACCCAGACTGATTTTGAGCTCCTGGGCTCAAGTGATCCTCCCACTTCAGCCTCTCAAAGTGCTGGGATTATAGGCGTGACCAGTTTTTTTTTTTTTTTTTTTTTTTTTTTTTAAATATATGTGCATGTTCCCAATAAAGGCCTACAGGAAATGCCACCATTTTTTTAAGGGAGTGGAGGCCCACCTTCTCACCAGGGACACCTAGGTCTGCCCTGCCCTGCCCCGCCCTGCCCTGCCCTGACAAGTGTGACTCTTTTTTTTTTTTTTTTTTTTCCTGAGACGGAGTCTCGCTCTGTCACCAGACTGGAGTGCAGTGGCACGATCTTGGCTCACTGCAACCTCCGCCTCCTGGGTTCAAGTGATTCTCCTGCCTCAGCCTCCCCAGTAGCTGGGACTACAGGCACATGCCACCACACCCAGCTAACTTTTGTATTTTTTAGTAGAGACGAGGTTTCACCATTTTGGCCAGGATGGTCTTGATCTCTTGACCTCGTGATCCACCTGCCTTGGCTTCCCAAAGTGCTAGGATTAACAGGTGTGAGCCACTGCGCCCGGCCAAGTATGAGTCTTATAATGGAGTATTGTTGTTTCACTACTTGTCCACTCCAGAAGCACACAGGGACCCTCAACTGGGGAAGTGGCTCTGGGTAGGAATGAGGGGAGCTCTTTCCTCACTTATCTTAACCTCCTTTCCCCTTCCCAGGGTTTGGCCCTGTCTTTACAACCAGTGACCCTGACAGCTTCTGGCAACAGCTTAATGAGATCCATGCCTTGGGGGGTGGAGACGAACCTGAGATGTGCCTGTCAGCCCTGCAGGTCTGGCCCCTCTCCTCTTCCCTTCTTATCCCCACCGCATTTCCTGACCCCGCCACCAGGGGGAGCTAGATCCCTCCTGGGGCTCCCCGCTACCTTCAGAACCTAGATCCACTAGCTTCACTCCAGGATTACTGGGTCATATTCCCTTCTGCTTCATCCTCCTTGGCTCTACCCATTCCCCTCCTGCTGCCATTGTTAACACTGGTCGTTGTCTTCCCTGCCAGCTGGCCCTGCTGCACACACCTCCACTCTCAGACATCTTTGTCTTCACGGATGCCTCCCCCAAGGATGCCTTTCTCACCAACCGGGTGGAATCCCTGACTCAAGAACGGCGCTGCCGGGTGAGCAGAGCTGGTGAGAGACCCAGTGTTAGCCTCCCAGGGATGTGAGAGACCCTGTGATGACAATCTCATCACGAGGGTTGCACCACACTATGGTGGCCCGACAAGCCTTGGCACATGGGAGAAGCAGACAATGAACGAAACCTTTCCTGATACCTTTAATGATACACGTAGGAGACCCCACCCTTAATAATGCAGAATTTTTATTTGAACCTGTCCAGTAAACAATGCGAAGAACTGGGGATCTAGTCACCAAAAATCCACTGTGACAAGGGGGTGGCCAAGTACTAACTGAAGGCAGGGGGTTGTCATTGGGAGACACCATCTAGCAGCCAGAAGGCAGGCAGGGACCTTATCACGAACCATCAGCTCTGGAGAAAGCTTGAGTACAGGGATTCTCCTTCATAATAGTGGATGGCACTTGGATACCCCAACCACCAAGCTCTCTTCTGGCCACAGGTAACATTCCTGGTGACTGAAGACACATCAAGGGTTCAGGGCCGAGCTCGGCGTGAGATCTTGTCCCCTCTGCGTTTTGAGCCATACAAAGCAGTGGCCCTGGCCTCAGGAGGAGAAGTGATCTTCACCAAAGACCAGCACATTGGAGATGTGGCAGCCATTGTTGGGGACAGCATGGCTGCCCTGGTGAGCAAGTGGGGGCCAGGGCCCTCACTTAGGAACTGAAGGGTGGTCAGGCTGCACCTCTCTTCTTTTTTTTTTTTTTTTTTTTTGAGATGGAGTCTCGCTCTGTCGCCCGGGCTGGAGTGCAGTGGCCGGATCTCAGCTCACTGCAAGCTCCACCTCCCAGGTTTACGCCATTCTCCTGCCTCAGCCACCCGAGTAGCTGGGACTACAGGCGCCCGCCACCTCACCCGGCTAGTTTTTTGTATTTTTTTAGTAGAGACGGGGTTTCACCGTGTTCGCCAGGATGGTCTCGATCTCCTGACCTCGTGATCCGCCCGCCTCGGCCTCCCAGAGTGCTGGGATTACAGGCTTGAGCCACCGCGCCCGGCAGCACCTCTCTTCTTATAGGAGAAAGGGGAATCACTCTCACTGCTGTGTTGTTCTTCCAGTCACGGGGCAGGAATGGAAGTTTCTCTGCCTCTCAGATCCATGGCTAGCCATTTCTTTTTTTTTGAGATGGAGTCTCACTGTCACCCAGGCTGGAGTGCAGTGGCGCGATCTCGGCTCACTGCAAGCTCTGCCTCCCAGGTTCAAGGGATTCTCCTGCCTCAGCCTCCCGAGTACCTGGAGTTAAGGCACCCACCACCAGGCCCGGCTAATTTTTGTATTTTTAAAGTAGAGCCAGGGTTTCACCAGTTTTTTGGCCAGGTTGGTCTCGAACTCCTGACCTCAAGTGATCTGCCCACCTTGGCCTCCCACAGTGCTGGAATTATAGGCTTGAGGCACTGCGCCTGGCCTGTATTGTCCTTTTATATCAGTAAACCCCTCCCCGCTTGGCTTCCAGTATTCTGCCTTCGGCTTTACCACAGGAAGTCCTACCATCTTTCTGGGGAGGTGGCTTGTATTTTGCAGAGTCAGAGTCTTGCTTTATTGACTAGGCTGGTCTTGAACCCCTGGCCTCAAGTGATCCTCCTGTCTTGGTCTCCCAGGTGCTGGGATTACAGACATGAGCCATCATCTTTTAATGGGGCACAAGATGTGATTGTCTCATCCCGAATCCCTTGCCTCCAATTTTGTCCCTGACCATAATAACTTCATCCCTGGCCCTGTGCCCCTCTCTCACTGTACCCCTTTCTCTCTGTGTGACGTGGTTTTTTTCTTTTTTTTTTTTTTAAGACAGAGTCTTGCACTGTCACCCGGGCTGGAGTGCAATGGTGCGATCTTGGCTCACTGCAACCTCCGCCTCCTGGGTTCAAGCAATTCTCCTGCCCCAGCCTCCCAAGTAGCTGAGATTATAGGCACCCACCACCACACCTGGCTAATTTTTTTTTTTTTTTTTTTTTTTTGTATTTTTTAGTAGAGACGTAGTTTCACTATGTTAGCCAGGCTGGTCTCGAACTCCTGACCTTGTGATTCGCCTGCCTCAGCCTCCCAAAGTGCTGGGATTACAGGCGTGAGCCACCGCACCCGGCCCAATGACATGGTTTCTTCCTATCTCCCCTATCTTCTTTGTTCCTCATCCCATACTTCATCTTCTCCCCCATTTTCTGGTCCTGCTGATCCCTCAAGGTGACTCTTCCCCTGGACCCTCCTTTTGTGGTGCCTGGGCGGCCACTTGTGTTCAGCGTGGATGGGCTGCTCCAGAAGATCACAGTCCGGATCCACGGGGACATCAGCAGCTTCTGGATCAAGAACCCTGCAGGTACGTCTGAAGGCAGAGGGAAGAATGGCGACTGGGGAATAGACAGTCGAGGGGATGTACTCAAGGAGAGCCAGTGTTTCATTTCTTCCCTGACCCCAGGGGTCTCCCAGGACCAGAAGGAAGGCACGGGTCCTCTAGGTCACACTCACCGCTTTGGGCAGTTCTGGATGGTGACCATGCATGACCCTCCACAGACAGGAACCTGGGAGATTCAGGTCACAGCTGAGGACACCCCCGGGGTGAGAGTGCAAGGTAAGGAGGGAGGTGTTCCTGGGAAAGGAAAGGAGAGACTGCAGGCCTCGGAGAACACGATCAGTCACATTCCTTTCAGGAAGGGCTCTGACTGCCTTTGCCTTTTCCCAGCCCAGACCTCCCTGGACTTCCTCTTCCACTTTGGGATCCCCATGGAGGATGGACCCCACCCTGGCCTCTACCCCCTGACTCAGCCAGTTGCAGGTACATCTGTTCCCTGAGTCCCCACCCACCTAACCCCCAGTTATTTATTTATTTATTTTTTCCCGCTCGCCACCCAGGCTGGAGTGCAGTGATGTGATCTTGGCTCACTGCAAGCTCCACCTCCCAGGTTCATGCCATTCTCCTGCCTCAGCCTCCTGAGTAGCTGGGACTACAGGCACCCGCCAACACGCCCGGCTAATGTTTTGTATTTTTAGTAGAGATGGGGTTTCGCTGTGTTAGCCAGGATGGTCTCCATCTCTTGACTTCGTGATCCGCCCACCTCGGCCTCCCAAAGCGCTGGGATTACAGGCGTGAGCCACCGCGCCCGGCCAAACCCCCAGTTATATATATATATGTGTGTGTGTATATATGTGTGTGTATATATATAACGTATATATCTATACATACATCTATGCATATGCATAACTTTTATATTGAGTTATAATTTACATAATGTGCACTAAAGTGTACAGTTTGATGGATTTCATATAATACGCCCAGTTCAGGATATAGGACATTTCCAGCACCCCAGAACTCCCTCCTGATGCTCCCCATCGATACCCCTTGAAGGTAACCTATTTTCCCATCCATACTCCCCAGAGGGAACCCTTATTTTGAAGGCCATTAATTCTTTTCTCCCTGTGTCTCCGAATCTCACAATGTTCTCCCCTCCTCGCCCCTGTCCCAGGTCTCCAGACCCAGCTGCTGGTAGAAGTGACAGGGTTGGGTTCCCAAGCGAATCCTGGGGATCCTCAGCCGCATTTCTCCCACGTCATCCTTCGAGGGGTCCCAGACGGTGCCGAACTAGGCCGGGTGCCTTTGGAGCCCGTGGGACCTCCGGAGCGAGGTCTCCTCGCAGCCTCGCTGCCGCCCACGCTGCTGTCCACCCCTAGACCCTTCTCCCTGGAGCTGATTGGCCAGGACGGAGCGGGGCGGCGCCTGCACAGGGCTGCCCCTCAGCCTAGCACTGTAGTCCCTGTCCTCCTGGAGGTGAGACACTAGGGGAAAAGTGCGGCTGGGGCTGGAAAGAGTTGGAGCGGCCCCTTCCCTGACGAGCCCTTCTCTGCAGCTTAGTGCGCCCTCGGGTTTCTTGGCCCCGGGCAGCAAGGTCTCGCTCAGTGTGCGCGTCGCCAGCTTCTCGGGCCCTCAGGATCTTGACCTTAGGACTTCTGTCAACCCCAGCTTCTCCCTCACCTCCAACCTCTCCAGGTGAGGCCCCTGAACCCTCCATCTCCCTCTGGCATCTTGTCTGGCCCGTGCTTATCCCAAGCCCCGCCCCTGGCCCCTTCCGATTGGCTCTCAGAATCCTCCTCTCACCTCACGTGGCCCTGCGGGCGTCCCCTGACTCTAGGCTCTGGACAGCCAGGGGCTTTAGCGACGCCTGTATCGTCTCTCCAGGGCTCACCTGGAACTGAATGAGTCGGTCTGGGGCCGCCTGTGGCTGGAGGTCCCAGACTCAGCGGCCTCGGATTCCGTGGTGATGGTGACTGTGACTGCAGCGGGACGAGAAGACAGCCCAGTGCCCCCGACTCATGCTTTCCTCCGGCTCCTGGTATTGGCCCCAGCCCCGCAGGTGAGGCACCGCTACTTTCCATCACAGGGTAGGCAAGGCAGGGGGAGGGTGGTGTAGGTTTAATTTGAGTACACTCTAGCACACCCTGTCATTCTCTTCCTCTTCCCCGCAGGACCAGCTCGCCACCCCTACCGGCTCATCTGACCCAACCCTCACCACCGCCACCCCTGCCTTTTCCCCCTTCACACTGGTGACTCAAGGCAGGGCTGGGGCAGGGTTGGCGGGCAGCCCCTGGTGGGGCACAGTTGGAGGGTTGCTTCTTCTGCGAGGCCTGGCCTCCTGGTGACACAACAGACTCTAGAGGGCTCCAGCACTATTTTCAACCTGCCCCATTGGTAAGAAGACCCGGAACACATTTGTCACATAGGTCTTAGGACCTTGCCTCTCCTAGCTGGGATGAAGGTTTTCTTTTTCTTTTTTTTGAGACCGAGTTTTGCTCTTGTTGCCCAGGCTGGAGTGCAGTGGCACGATCTCGGCTCACTGCAACCTCCGCCTCCCAGGTTCAAGCAGTTCTCCTGACTCAGCCTCCCAAGTAGCTGGGATCACAGGTGCCCACCACCATGCCCGGCTAATTTTTTGTATTTTTAGTAGAGACAGGGTTTCACTATGTTGGCAAGGCTGGTCTCGAACTCCTGACCTCAGGTGATCCAACTGCCTCGGCCTCCCAAAGTGCTGGGATTACAGGCGTGAGCCACCACACCCTGCCAATGAAGGTTTTCTTTCTCCAGCACATCCCTTTCCTTTCTTAAAAACTTCAAGACTGGGGCTGGGCGCGGTGGCTCATGCCTGTAATCCCAGCACTCTGGGAGGCTGAGGCAGGAGGATCACTTGAGCCCAGGAGGTTGAGGCTGCAGTGAGCTATGGTCGCACCACTGCACTACAGCCTGAGCAACAGTAAAACACTATCACAGAAACAAAACAAAACAAAACAAAAAACCCTGTAAGACTGGGATAGAGGGCAATGGATTTTCCCACAATGCACTTTTCCTAACCCTATGAGAAACAAACCAAAGACATTTTTGGAGAAAGTTGCTTTCTGGAGCAGCTTTGGTTTTATTTTTGTATTTAAGGCTGAAGGACAGTTTCAATAAACATGTCTTCTCCCCAGAGGGATTTCAAAGAAAGATCATTTTTGCACGTCATATAGGGGAGAATGAGGACGTGAGACACCAAGAAGGTGAAGTTTTCAGGAGCAGAGGAGAAACATTACACCAAGATGTCTGAACTTCATTGACTCACTACCTGGAGCCATTTTTTAGCTGTTAAGAAACAGAAAAAGGAGCCTGGGGCTTCTGACTGTTTCACCAGGCTTAGGGGAGTGAGAGGAGGGTTTAGACACGGGTAGGGCCTCTTGGCCCGTTGGTGCAGCCCCGCTGAGCCATCTCCTCCTTTGGCTGGGTGACTCCTTTCTGCTGCCTTGACAACTCCTGGAGGAGAGGAGAAACAGATGGGGCCTCTTGGCTCCTCCCAGCCCTGTAGGGTGGGGCTCCTGCCCTCTCTCTTGAAGTTTACCTGTTGCCGCCACAAGTTCTGCTTCCTTCTTCTTTCCTTTGAATCCTGGGTGGTGCAGGAACTAGCCTTGTTCAGTGGACTTGGGGAGAACTGGAGGGGAAATTCACTGTGTTTTCTGTTAAGCCAGCACTGACCCCAACAACTCCCCTCACTAGTCCAGCTTCCCAAAAGTCTAAACTGAAACAATAAACTCACCTTCTCATGAATCAGATTCTGCAAACAGATGTTCACCTTTTGAATCTGGGCTAACGGGGGGCCACCAGGCTCTGAGTGTAAATCTGTTAGAAAATTCTAGAGGAGGAGTTGGAGGCTGACAACATGGTGAAAACCTGAGGTCCATCTGCCACTCTATTCCTGTCACCACAGGCCATCCCTCTCATCCGGATTCCCTCATCCCAGTACCCTCCCAGGCAGGTGGGAAAATCCAGTACTCTTCACTTCCATCTCTTTAGCAGGTCAGTTCCTCCATCCCCTCAAATAGCACAACACCCCCTTTCCCTACTCTTCATGGAGCCTCCCTGTCCATCCCTGCCCCATTGGAATGATCCGGCCACGCCCTCATCTCCATGGAGTGATCCAAATCCCTCTGAATGGAATGCAGACCAGCTTCCTCCAGCCCCAACAATGAACACCAACTTAACACTTGGTGGCATCCTGTCACTACGATGCTGCCTCCAATTCATGATCCCTGACCATTAACTCTCCCCTCTCCAGAGTGGTCTCAGGCTGTGTCTACACATTCCCTGTTCCTCCCTCCCTGGCCCTCCCCCCATTCACACAGAGGGGCAGCCCCCATACCTCACCAAGGGCCCCTAGATGCAGCTGCTGTTGCTGTGCCTCCTTCAGACGGTCTTCAAACCAGGCCTGGCCATGCTGTAGCAGCTCCAGCCCCTGCCACAGGGCATCCTGTTCTCTCTCCAGAGCCTGCATCCTCCGCAGCTGGGAAAGGCAAGCACAGAGGCTGACTCTTGTGCCACAGCAGGGCTCTGGGTTATGGCCCTTTCTCTCCACCCTTGGTTGGGTTCACTGTGTGGTCACTGAGTGTGAACCCAGACTGGCCACTGAGGACCTGGAGGGCAAGGGGAGGCAGGTGGGAACACTGTGGGCCCTCAAATTGAATGGAAACATAAAGGGCAGGTCTATGGAGAGACTTCCCCTGGGACCTCTTGTTGTACTGATACTCACCCAAAGGAAGAAGCTCCGGGCCCCCGGGTCTTGGCGGCTTGTTCCCAGCGGCAGCAGCAGGACTGTGTAGGGAACCTGCACCAAGGGCATCCCGCCAGAGCCCTGGCTCCCCATGGCTCTGAAGTGGGAAGGGTGGAGCCACTCCCACTGGTGCAGCCCGGGCTGGTCCCTCCCTTCCACCCCTGCCTTGCACCCATCCTGCCTCTGTCAGCCTCTCAGGCCCCTTCCTGCTGTGTCTGTCTGAGGCTGGCGTGTTCCTACTTGAGAAGAGAGACCATCTCCCTTGGGCCCCTCTGTCTTCCCTCTAATCTGTTTTGTAGGGCCTCTCTGAAGTGGTTTGTTCTCATGAACGATCCTTGGGTAGAATCTGAGAGTCTTCTTACAGCAAGGACACTGTATTTTTATTGAGGCAGGGCAGGTTCCCCTGTGGACTCCTGCTCTGTGTTTCGGATCTTTCCTAGTCTCTCGTTCTGGCTGGCCTAAAGAAACAGTATCTTTCTTCAAAATAAACTTTATTCCTAATATGAAACAAAATTTCTAGAGAAACTAAAAACTCTGGGTCTGAAGGCGATAAGGAAACAGAGGGCATGGCAGCCCACTGGGGTCTCAGGAGGCTGGGGAGGACGCAGGAAGGACTCTCAGAGGATGCTGGTGGCAGCAGGCAGCACTTCCTGGCTCATGAAAACGTTCAAGTCCAGGTTAGGATCTTCCAAATCCAGTTTCATAAACTTATCCACTAATGTCTGGCAACTGAAGAAGAGAGAAAATAGCAAGATTTATGGCAGAATGGACAACCAAGTCCCTGGGCAGAGGGGAGAGGCTGTGGCACAGGAAACCTGGGATCTTGAAGACTTAGGGATTTCAGAAATAAATGGTGGGTTTCTGAAGGGCAAAGTGCTGGAGGAAGTTTGAGTCCCTGAAAAGGGGAGAAGAGTTGCAGGAGAAGATGCAGAGAGGGCAAAGACACTGGGGCCACACACTCACTTTTCCATTTGGTTCTTCTTTAGCAAATCCTTGACAGGCTTGATGGGTTTTCCACCGCGGATCAAGTCTGAGACCTAGGAACGACAAGCAAGATGGTGGGAGGAGTATGGGGAAGAGTTGGGGAAGAGAAGGGAAAATAAGGGTCAGAAATCCTGTGGACCTAGACCCAGGCCCAATAGGACTAGGAATGGAAGGGAGCTCTTATGTGGACGCGATTGCACATTTGGATCTCATCACCTCCTTGCCACGAGCCACAAGCTTGTCAGGAAGCCCAGCCTGGGCAGCTGTGTGGGAAGCATGGCTGGCCTTCGCAACACCTTCGCAAACCTGATAGAAGAAGACAAGGTCGTTGCCATCCTCACAGGTCTCCATTGTCTTAAAAGAGAATAAAAGACAGTAAGTATATCATCAATCACCTCCTTCCTGTCCTGAAACCCTTGGCCAATCCTGTGGGGAGGGAGAAAAGGGAAGGGATGTGGTCTCTGTGCTGAGGGAGGCTTTGTTCTGATACAGGATTTCCCACCTCTGGGAAATGCCCAGCCTGGGGGCCTCCGAGGAGCTAGATTGGTCTCCTCACCAAATACTGCACCAGGGGCCCTTGTGGCAGCAGCTGTAACTGAACAAGGCTCAGAAAGTTGGTGGCCACAAAGATGTGGGGGCATGTGGTTCCACGTGCCAGCCAGTGTCGGAGCACAGCGGCCAGAAGCGCGAGCCCATCCACCTGCAAGGAGGGCAGAGGTTAGGGTTCGGAGCCATGCGGACCCCCATGTGCCCCTTTGCACTTGCACTGGCCTTTCCCTGTCTCATGTTCTGTTTCTTTTCTGCCCACACAGCCCTATTCCATTCCAGAGGCCCAGCCTCACTGTCATGCTCCTTCATCCTCCTCCATTTGCCCCTCCTTAGTTTCTCCCCTCATCAGTTTCTCCCCTCACCGTATTGGTTCCCTTTCCAAATTCATCAATGAGGACCAGCGACTGTGCAGTGGCATTGTTCACTGCTTTTGCCACCTGCAGGGTGTAAGGTGGACAAGGGAAAGTTAGTATTGGAAGCCCGTAACGCAGTGACCACAGTTGGCCTGTGAATAAAGCTATATACGCGCCCTCCCTACTGCACTGCAAGTTCTTGAATGCTGAGGTGCATGCTTTGTTCATCCTCTTTGCCAACAGTGACTCACATGAAGCAAGGGTTCAAGAAATGTTTGTGGTATTGATTCTTCCTATCTCTGACCTTAGGGTTCCCCACTTTTAGTATAAATGGTATGCAGCAGAGGGCATGCTTTCCTGTTATGAGCATTTTCAGGGGTTTCTTTCCCATTATCCCCTTCCTCAATCCCACCTCCCTTTGTTCCCTTTGACCTGGTTGAGGTCGATGATGAAGGTGGAGAGGCCAAGGGAGATGGATTCACAGCTATGAATTCGTGTGAAGATGGCATCTACTGCCCCAATTTCAGCCTCCTCTGCTGGCACAAAGCTGCCTACCAGGGCCATGAATGTGATCAAGCCTACCTGAATAGGAAAGGAGACAGGGCCTGAGGCTTGGTGCTGTGGGCTGAGGTGAAAGTGAGGCTCAAGGCATGAATGACAGATCAAAGAGAGATGGACAGGGTGAAACAGGAGACACAGATACACTGACTCTGTCTCTCCTCCCCCAGTCCCAAGCATAGCCCCGCTGGCTAATTTAGAATCAGTAAAGAGGCATGGGACGTGGGCAGAGACATACTTGGGAGTGGTGTGTACCTACTCGGAGACGGGTGAAGGAATTTGAGCCATGGAAAGTTCCATTAGAGCATGGCTCTCCAGTGGAGAATGAGAACATGTGAGGTGGAAGGAAGCACAGGGATGTAGGTGATGGTCCTTTCATGAAGAGCGAGGTCAGAAAATGGGAGAAGAGCTGCAGGAGACTGGGTTGGTTGGCAAGTAGGGGTGGAGTAGATGCAGGAGGTGCCAGAGGCCCAGGCTGCAGGGCTTCTCCTCACCTGTTTGAGGTATATGCTCTTCCCTGATGAGTTGGGTCCAGTGATGACTTTGACCCTTCCTTTGTCCCCACCACATTCTGTGGAGTTGGGCACAAAAGTTCGGGCACAGAGTTCCATCAGAGGATGTCTGCAGTGGGTGGAGAGGCACCTCACATGGCTTGTGGATCAAGATGGATGAACCCCCAGAAGATGTAGCCTTTGGGCCCCTCATGTCTATTCCTCCACCCACCTCTATTCTTACCTGCCATTCTGGATTCGTACCCCAAGGACCTGAGGGGAGTAACGCGGCCTTGAGTAGCCATAGTCCCGGGCAGCACTGGCAAGAGCCAGCAGGACGTCCAGGCGGGAGGCAAGGTCCAATACTTGGGTTAAGACAGCTGCTCGTGCCAGCACCTGGCACTGCAGCTGGTACATCAGCAGCGTCTCCTGGTCTGGGAGTGGGTGAGGGAGGGAGCTAGAGGTCAGCTCCAGGGGAAAGTGAAGAAGAGGCAGAGGCCCCTAGAGGGATCTGGAAACAGGTTACAGATACAATCTGAGACCTCAAGACATTCAGAGGAAAAGATAGAGTCAGAGTGAGTGAGACAGAGAACAGGAAGAGAAGGTGCCTGTTGGAAGCATCCCCAAGTTGCCCACTCCCCTCCTTCCCCTGGCTGCATTTTAAAAAATCATCTTACAATGCATATAACCTCTGGCTTCTCCTCACCCCGGATCTCACAGTGCAGGTCCCCCAGCAATGCATCCAACTCCTTGGTTCGGGCACTACGATAGTGCAGCTTCTCCTCTGAGAGAAACTGGGTACAGTGGTTCAAAGCTGTGGGTTTTGCATCTCTTGGTCCTCCTCTCCTTCCCTATCTTTCTAATTCCACCTCCAGCCCCTAACCCTGACTTCTCTTTCCTTTGTCTCAGTGCTGGTAAAGCTCAGAATAAAACTGCAGAAGAGAGATCCCATATTGGGCAGTGATGCTGTAGGGTAAGGCCCTCCCTCAGCTGCTGACTCATTTTCCTCATCACTCACTTTACAGAGGTTGAGGGTCTTACCATGAAGTCCAGTCCATTAATCTCAAAGTCACTAGCCTCTACCATGAAAGGCAGGCGAGGAATAGAAAGAAGGAAGCCGATCTGGGGAGAGTAAACAGGAGATACTCTACTCTCCTGCTTGGAGACTTACTGGACACCTCCCCTCCCTAGAAGGAGCTTAAGAGATCCCTGTATCCCCACAAAAAAGTGTTCATGTTCTTCAGGCTACCCCACAAGTTTTCTTATCTACCAGTATGTCTTTCATCAGCCTAATATCTCCCCCAAAAGACCTCTGAAGGCTACACCCACTCTCTTGCCCTCACCAGAGGGATGTAGATGACACTGCATGAAGGAATACGTGAGTCCAGATTCTCCAGCTCCTTGCGGGCAACCTCAGTAAGGAAACTGGGAAGTCCCATCAGTCTTCGCTTTTCTACGAGGGTGGAAGACACGTGGTTATCAAAAGTGAGGCTCCTGCCCTGGTTGCTATGAAGATCCCCAGCTGTGGGAACCACCTGCCAAGGATGGTATTCCATCATTGCGCAGGGCTCACAGGCCCATCCGCACCCAACACTCACTCTCATCAATTTCAGGATCTATGTTGGGGAGGACTGTGAAGCGATTTTCAGCAAGGCTGCCCTCAAAGTCCACCTGAGGAGATAAGTACTGTTTCTTAGCACCCGGCATCCTCTCTCTGTCCTGTTCCTCAGCTCTCCTTGGGCCCCAATTCTCCCTGCAGTCCTGCTTTAACTCTCATCCTCCAGATACTTCCCTGAAGTTCTGACGCCTCCTGTCACCATCCCATTCTTTATCCAATTGACCTCAATATCTTCCATGCTTCCCCATCTCGCACACTGCATTCTCTCTCCCTGACCTCCCTGGGTGCACACTCACTACTTTCCCAATGAGGCTGGCAATATGGTGCAGGTCATCAGAGAACTCTTGGGCAATGTCCCGAAAGAGCTGGATGGACTGCGGCAGGGAGCGGCAGGCATCCCTCAGGCCCAGGGCACCGTACACAGTCTGTGAGAGAAACACAAGTAGGACAGCCCACATCCAGCTCAGGCTGGGGCGGGGATAGGGACAGACTCAGAAGAACAAAGACCAGTAGGGAAGATCACAGTAACAAAGAGGGAAGATCTCAAAGGCAAAAAGAAACAGTGGAAGGTACTGCACCAAACACTGAGGCTACAAAGACAATCAAGATAGGGTCCCAGCCAGGCGTGGTGGCTCACGCCTGTAATCCCAGCACTTCGGGAGGCTGAGGCAGGTGGATCACCTGAGGTTCAGGAGTTCGAGATCGGCCTCACCTACATGGTGAAACCCTGTCTCTACTCAAAATACAAAAATTAACTGGGCATGGTGGCATGCACATGTAATTCCAGCTACTTGGGAGGCTGAGGCAGAAGAATCTCTTGAACCCAGGAGGTGGAGGTTATTATAGCAAGATCGTGCCACTGCACTCCAGCCTAGCCGACAGAGCGAGACTCTGTCTCAAAACAAAACAAAACAAACAAAAAAAGATATGGTCCCTGTCCCAGATGTGCTCACAGTCTAGCAAGGAAGACAGAAATACATGCAGAAGATGTAAAAGTGAGGTGGTAGGTGCTTTGATAGAGGGTTGTGCAAACTCTATAACAAAGAAGTTTATACAGAGTCAGGAGAAAGATAAATTTAGCTATAAAAGGCCATGAATCTGTAATGATACAAGAACAACGACAAAAAAATCTCATTGGCTATCAGGGCCGGGCACGGTGGCTCACACCTGTAATCCCAGTACTTTGGGAGGCCGAGGTGGGTGGATCATGAGGTCAGGAGATCGAGACTATCCTGGTTAACACAGTGAAACCCCGTCTCTACTAAAAGTACAAAAAATTAGCTGGACGTGGTGGCGGACGCCTGTAGTCCCAGCTACTCAGGAGGCTGAGGCAAGAGAATGGTGTGAACCTGGGAGGCGGAGCTTGCAGTGAGCCGAGATGGCGCCACTGCACTCCAGCCTGGGCCACAGTGCAAGACTCTGTCTCAAAAAAAAAAAAAACAAAACAAAAAACTTCATTGGCTATCTTGGAGAATGTTAGGGAACTAATTTACCATATTGATAGCTAGTAAATAAAGGTGGGGGGTGCTCATTTCTGCAGTACATATACTAAAATTTTGAAGGTTACAGAGATTAGCATGACCACTGGGCAAGGATGACACACAAATTCATGAAGCGTTCCATATTGGGAAAATAAGAAAAGGGCTGGGCACGGTGGCTCACGCCTGTAATCCCAGCATTTTGGGAGGCCAAGGCGGGTGGATCACGAGGTCAAGAGATTGAGACCATCCTGGCCATCATGGTGACATCCTATCTCTACTAAAAATACAAGAATTAGCTGGGTGTGGTGGCGCGCGCTTATAGTCCCAGCTACTCAGGAGGCTGAGGCAGGAGAATCACTTGAACCCGGGAGGCGGAGGTTGCAGTGAGCCAAGATCACACCACTGCACTCCAGCCTGGTGACAGAGTGAGACTCTGTCTCAAAAAAAAAAAAAAGAAAGAAAAAAAAGTGGGAGAAAAATCAAGCAACTTTCTGTATTTCTATATGATTTCTATCACTTGGCAACCAAATAGATGAAAGGAAGTTTCTTTTTACAGAAATTTCTGGCTAATGAAGAAAGAATGAGAGATTTAAATAATACGACTTTGTAATCGCTAAAGAATTAATAGATGGCTGGGCATGGTGGCTCACGCCTGTAATCCCAGCACTTTGGGAGGCCGAGGCAGGCAGATCACCTGAGGTCAAGAGATCAAGACCATCCTGGCCAACATGGTGAAATCTTGTCTCTACTAAAAATACAAAAATTAGCTGGGCGTGGTGGTGTATGCCTGTAAGTCCCAGCTACTCAGGAGGCTGAGGCAGAGGAATCGCTTAAACTCAGAAGGCGGAGGTTGCAGTGAGCCATGATTGTGCTCTTCATGTGCAGTGAGCCATGATTGTGCACTTCAGCCTGGCAACAGAGGGAGACTCGTCTCAAAATAAATAAATAAATAAATAAGGAATTGACATATCAGACATTATGTTCCTCTACTTCCAAAACAGTATTGAAAAAAAAACCTAATCATGCTTCTATAACTAAATATTAATTTACAGAAACTACAGAAGAGAGAGAAATGTGCCAAAAACATCTAGGAAATGCAAACAGCAAAATCCGCCCCGCGCCTGGCCTGTTATTCTTTTTAAAAAATAATTTTCTTTTAGAAATTACCCTGAAATATTGGCCAGGTGCGGTGGCTCATGCCTGTAATCCCAGCACTTTGGGAGGCCGAGGTGGGTGGATCATGAGGTCAGGAGATCAAGACCATCCTGGCCAACATGGTGAAACCCCATCTCTACTAAAAACACACACAAAAAAATTAGTTGGGCATGATGGTGTGTGCCTGTTATCCCAGCTACTTGGGAGGCTGAGGCAGGAGAATCGTTTGAACCCGGGAGGTGGAGGTTGCAGTGAGCTGAGATGGCACCACTGCACTCCAGCCTGGGCCACAGAGCAAGACTCTGTCTCAAAAAAAAAAAAAAAAAAATACACTGAAATATTTATGGATGAAATTATATAATGGCTGGGCTTTGCTTAAAAATAATCCAAGAAAGCCAGGTGCAGTATCTCAGGCCGATAGTCCCAGTTACTCTGGAGGCCAAGGTGGGAGGATTGCTTGAGCCCAGGAGTTAGAGGCTGCAATGAAATATGATCACACCACTCCACTCTAGCCTGGGTGACAGAGCAGGACCTTATTTCAAAAAACAAACAACAACAACAAAACCCACAAAATAATCTAACAGGGGAAAGTGAGGGACGATATAGATGAAACATACTGTGCTGGGCACTGTGGCTCTCACCTATAATCCTAGCATTTTGGGAGACCAAGATGGGAGGATTACTTGAGGCCAGGAATTTGAGACCTGCCTGGCCAATATGGTGAAATCCCATCTCTACTAAAAATACAAAAATCACTCGGGTGTGGTGGTGGGCTCCTGTAATCCCAGCTACTTGGGAGACTGAGGTAGGAGAATCACTTGAACTCGGGAGGCAGAGGTTGCAGTGAGCTAAGATTGCACTACTGCAATCCAGCCTGGGTGACAGAGCAAGACTCTGTCAAAAAAGGGCAGGGAAGGGCAGGGCAGGGCAGGGCAGGGAAGGGAGAAAAAATAAATATATTGGCATAAGTTAAAGTGTTGAAACTGCATGGTGGGTACATGGGGGTTAATTGTATTACTCTAAATATTTTTTACATTTTCCTGACTACAAAATTAAAAAAAAAAAAAAAAAAGAGGGAGGCCGGGTGAGGTGGCTCACACCTGTAATCCCAGCACCTTGGGAGGCTGAGGCAGGTGGATCACCTGAAGTCAGGAGTTCAAGACCAGACTGGCCAACATGGTGAAATCCTGTCTCTACTAAAAATAAAAAAATTCGCCAGGCGTGGTGGCGGGTGCCTGTAATCCCAACTTCTCGGGAGGCTGAGGCAGGAGAACTGCTTGAACCCGGGAGGCAGAGGTTGCAGTGAGCCAAGATCGTGCTACTGCACTCCAGCCTGGGGAACAGAGCGAGACTGTCTCAAAAAAAAAAAAAAAAAGAGGGCAGAATAAAATTGGACAGCATATCTAGGGCACAGACAGTCTGGAACACAGGCTGAGGTCTTTTACCTGGACTTCTGGGATTCAAGAAGGAAGGCCTTACCTTGTAGAGAACCTGCCAGTCGCTGACCTTGGTGTGGGACAACTTCATGCGTTTCAGAATCAGCTACAGTCAGACAAGGTTACAGCCACTGTTTTCCTTTCCCTCATTGTAATGCCCCTCAAGAAGCCCAATGCCCAGTATCAGCCCTCAACCTCCTTCCCCACCTCCCTGCCCTCCACCCTGGGCTCACGGGCACGTTCTTGATGTGACCCAGGAGCCGATGCAGCATCTGAGCCATGTCCAGATTCTGGGGCAGCAGAAAAAACTGAATGACGTCCAGACGAGAATTGAGTTCCCCCAGGTCATGAGTCGGACGTGTGAACCATAGTCTGGAAGTGAGGGTTAGGGTGGGGTTACTAGAAGTTACATCTATTATCATCTTGATCTCAGTTTGCCAAAAAGTGTGTCTGCAGTCTCTGGGGATTGTGGCAATATGTATCCACGATGTACTATGGGAATGTAGTGGCAAAGTGCAGTGTCCTACCCATTCAGGTGTGTTTACATGTATCTACTGAAAAATTGCTAGATGTAGGGGGAGGGATTGCATTGGGAGTTATACCTGATGTAAATGAGGAGTTGATGGGTGCTGAGGAGTTGATGGGTGCAGCACACCAACATGGCACAAGTATACATATGTAACAAATCTGCACGTTGTGCATATGTACCCTAGAACTTAAAGTATAATTAAAAAAAAAAAAGTAAGAATTTGCAAAACTGATTAGTTTCACTAGCAATAAAAACATGGCAATTAAAAAAAAAAAGAAAATTGCTAGATGTGAGCATAATTGTGTCTACATATCACAGTTTCAATGGATAAGACCATGTGTCATTCCATGTATATAAGTAACGGAGTTTGTCAATATTTTAGAAGGACAGCAGTGTGTTGAGGTATTTGTGTGCCAACACTGCAGTTCGCTCTGCGGCTGAGTAAGAGACGGTGAGTCAGTATGAGTTTGTATGTCTGTATTTAGCTGTGAAAGTGTCTCTGGGTAATAGCAACAGACATTCGTCTTTTCATGTTCTTCCTGTGAAAACACAACTGTCCCATTAGGGATGATAAGCCTTTAATTCATAATAATGGTCAACTCTGCAGAGAAAAAAGGATTGGGGAGGGACATTTAAGGGGCTTCAACAATATTGTCTTATTTATTTTTATTTATTTATTTTGAGACAGTCTCTCTCTGTTGCCAGGCTGGAGTGCAGTGATGCAATCTCAGCTCACTGCAACCTCCACCTCCCTGGTTCAAGTGATTCTCCTGCCTCAGCCTCCCGAGTAGCTGGGACTGTAGGTATATGCCACCATGCCCAGCTAATTTTTGTATTTTTAGTAGAGTCAGGGTTTCACCATGTTGGCCAGAATAATCTCGATCTCTTGACCTCATGATCTGCCCGCCTCGGCCTCCCAAAGTGTTGGGATTACAGGCATGAGCCACCATACTCGGCCAATAGTGTCTTATTCTTTTTTTTTTTTTTTAAGACAGAGTCTTGCTCTGTCACCCAGGCTAGCGTGCAGTAGCACAATCTCAGCTCACTGCAACTTCCGCCTCCCAGGTTCTGGGATTACAGGCACCCACCACCGTGCCCAGCTAATTTTTGTATTTTCAGCAGAGACGGGGTTTCACCATCTTGGCCAGGCTGGTCTCAAACTCCTGACCTTATGATCCACCTGCCTCGGCCTCCCAAAGTGCTGGGATTACAGGCATGAGCCACCGTGCCCAGCATGTCTTATTCTTAAATTGGCTGATGGATGTATAGATATTTGTATTATTATTATTATTTTTGAGATGGAGTCTTGCTCTGTTACCCAGGCTAGGGTGCAGTGGAGTGATCTCAGGTCACTGCAACCTCTGCATCATAGGCTTAAGTGATTCTGCCTCAGCCTCCCTAGTAGCTGGAACTATAGGTGTGTGCCACCATCCCCAGCTAAATTTTGTATTTTTAATAGAGATGGGGTTTTGCTGTGTTGGCCAGGCTGGTCATGAAATCCTGACCTCAGGTGATCTGCCTGCCTCAGTCTCCCAAAGTGCTGGGATTACAGGCGTGAGCCACCACACCCAGCCATTTGTATTATTATTGTTAGTTTTTATAGAGATGAGGTCTTGCTATGTTGCCCAGGCTGTTCTCAAGCTCCTGGCCTCAAGCAGTCCTCCTGCCTTGGCCTCCCAAAGTGCTGGGATTATAAGCATCAGCCACTGCACCTGGCCCAATAGTATTATTATTTACATCTTTTTTTTTTTTTTTTTTTTTTTTTGAGACAGAATCTTGCTCTGTTGTCCAGGCTGGAGCAGAGTGGTGTGATCTCAGCTCACTGCAACCTCTGCCTCCCAGGTTCAAGCGATTCTCGTGTCTCAGCCTCCCGAGTAGGTGGGATTACAGGAGTTCGCCAACACACACGGCTAATTTTTGTATTTTTAGTAGAGATGAGGTTTCACCATGTTGGCCAGCCTGGTCTCAAACTCTGGACCTCTGGTGATCCACCTGCCTCGGCCTCCCATGTGCTGGGATTACAGGCAT